GGATACAGGTGGACCTGTTGCAACAATGAGAAGTACAAGTTGTCATGTCCAAAACGAGCTTTGATCTACAATTTTTATAGCACTGCAACACCTTGCATTGTACTTTATGATTGCTACTTTTCTCTATTGCGACTTGGTCTCTATTCTATTTCTGTAACATATGAACTTTACCCAGTAAGTATTTATGAAATCAAAGAAGTCAAAGGGTAAAGGCATAATAAACTGTAAGAGCACAGAGTTGAGATGGCTTACCTAAATACGAGGAAATAAAACAGGTCTTCTAAAATACAATGCATGAGACATGAGTGTGATTAGAAGTTAGCTACACAAAGAAAAAGAAAAGCCTATCCTGAAAGAATGAAAATACAAATGCTTGGATACATTAGAAAATAAAGGAGGTAAAGCAGGGCCTTACATATCAATTTAATCCCTTTGTATTTTGAGTCAAATTTAGTTATTAACTATAACTGATTAGAGGAGGGCAAAATAGGAGTTGTTGGAATTAATCAAGGGAGTATTAGTAATCTGAATTAGGACAACATCCATAAAGATAACATGAATAAACAGACTCAAAGTATTTGGTTCATGGAAATCCCAGGATATGTTGATTGATTCTTGATTGAGCATTAGAGTGGTGACATGGAGAAATCTAACATAAAACTTAATTTAGGGGTGAGGAAATAGCTTAGTGGTAGAGTATTTCCCTGGCTTGTACAAGCACTGGGTTTTACCTCCAGCAGAGAACAAAACATTAATTTTGGCTGAAACAACTGAGACTATCAACACAAATAAACAGGAACGTTGCTGGGAAATACAAGGAAATAGAACATGGGAAGTATTGAGATTTCTATGAGGTAATTAGAAAGCATCAAATATAGGTGCCAATGGCTCACACCTATAATTCTAGCTACTAAGGATGCTGACAAATGGAGAATTGAGGTTCTAAGACAGCCCAAGCGGTAAAGTATGTGACACTCTATCACAGTGGACCAGCAAAATGCTGGACAGGAGATGTGACTCATATGGTATAAAGCCAGCTAAAAAGCAAGCCGAGTGATAATGTGAGGCCCCAACTTCACGTCCGATACTGGAACAAAACATTGATATAGATGCTCAACAAGCTGCTAGATATGAATCTTGGAATCAAAAGAGATGTTCTGGAGGCTTGTACATGATTCTCACCAATACATGGATAGCAAAATAAAATTATGGGCATGG